CTCATTTCCCCTCTGTTTTCAAGCTTGTAGCCCCTAATAGCTTCATGAAAGTACTTCTTGAGCCATTCTCCAAGCTTGTTTGTGCTTTGTGGGTTGTAATAAGTTGTTAGCCTTTAGATCTAGGCATGATTTAGTCCCTGGAGCTTGGATCTACTGCCTTTATGGAGTCATATTGCATGAAAGACCTAGATCTACCCCTTTTGGTGCACTTTGAGCCCTAAAACCTTCATTGGTGATTATCTAAACGTAAAGTTGGAAACTTTATGTGTAAACCAGGCCCTAGGAACCCAGATCTATGAATGGCATGGACTGGATTCAAGCAAAATCGCGTGTATAGTTTTTGCATGAGGCAGACTCAGCGAGTCGTTCATCTAACTCGGCGAGTCGGGTCGCGAGTTCCAGGGTTGTTCCCTTTTGTGTTTGCGAGTTGGAGTAGTGAGTCATAGGGTATGACTCAGTGGGTTGGAAGCCAGACTCACTCATGAAGTCACTCGGCGAGTCAGTTCCATGACTCGGTAAGTTCATGACAATCTTCTTGTCTCAAGAACAACTCGACGAGTTGTTCATACAACTCGGCGACTCACAGCTTAGAGTGTTCTTCGGATGAAGGCAAACTCGGCGAGTTGTTCATACAACTCGGCGAGTAGGATGAAGGACTATTGGACTTGGGTATAGAGAAAGGGACTCGGCGAGTTGGCAAGCCAACTCGACGAGTCTGGTCAACTGGCAGTTGACTATGACTTGACTCATGACTTGTTAATGGTAAATGGACAATTTACCCTGAGGGTGGTTAGCAGTATTTGACTAAGTGTTTGGTGGGAATTACAGCCGAAGGATTTCCGGAGCAGCATCAGCAGACAGACCATTCCCACACAGATCAGCAGCTACTACGAGGTGAGTTACCTTCCAGTAGCGGTGGGTCTAAGGCCACAATGCCGGCCCACCAGTAGGAAATGTATGATAAATGATTGTCTTTGTGATATCATCTAGGTTTGCTACTACCAGATATGTTATATGCTAGCATGATATGTTGTATGTGATAGTAGTAGAGTGCGGTTGTTAGGACCGAAGGGTAGTCAAACACCCCAGATACGTCTGACAGTATATGATGATATGTTTGCATGCTGGCCTTGTACGTTATATGTGATAGAGGTAGTAGGAGGGGACTAGCCCCTGAGTTCGGTTGCTAGGACCGAAGGGTAGTTCAAGCACCCCAGATATGTCTGATAAATATGTTATGTTATGATATATGTGATAGTAGCAGTAGGGGTGAAATAGTCCCCGAGGTTCGATCGTCATGACCGAAGGGTAGTCAGCACCCCATAATGGCTTGACATGGGTAGTCAGCACCCCCAGAATGGCTTGACACGGGTAGGTCGACACCCCCAGAATGGTCGTACCGAGTAGGTCGGGCACCCCAGAAATGCCTGACAATATGTATGATATGTGATTGTATGGTATGCAGTATGATGGGGGAACTCACTAAGCTTCGTGCTTACAGTTTTCAGTTGTGGTTTTAGGTACCTCTTCTTCGAAGGGGAAAGAGTTCGCGCGGTAGCGGCCTATCACACACATGCTCCGTATTCCGCATCATGAGATCTTCTTGGGGATTTGTACTCTGACATTATTATGTTTTATGAAATGTTTTCCAGACTTGCAATATCTTTATAAATGTTATGATCAGTAAACGTTTTCATTCGAATGTTTTGCTAAATATATGTTTTCAAAAATGAAATTTTTGTCTCGTATTTTTGGGGTGTTACATAGAGGTAATTTGAGATGTAAATTGCTATGTGTGTCTATTGATGTATATCCTTCGAAAAGTAATGGAAATTTGGTTTGATTGTTATGTAGGGCCACAGAGTGTTGATAAGAATGATAGAAAATTAATGGGTTTCTTGAAGCAAACACACAAAACGCTATGAAAAGGTAACATGGCACCAAATGTGCCAATTTAACTAGAATCACAACATAACCTCACCCAGAGAAAAAACTTGATAGCCTGTTGCATTTATTTTCTATTATTGTGGTAATAACTTAGAACAATGTTGTTCTATTTGTTTAATTTGAAAGAATTTTCATGTTCATTAATCTCTTTTAATTGCATAATGAATTGGGCATGACTAAGTAAGTGCTTATTATGTTGGTTTTTAGAATTAGGAAATGCCTATGTCGGTTCCATGTAAAGCTTGTTGATTGGGGCTCTACTTGATCATATGTTGTGAACTTGAATTTATATATATATATATATATATATATATATATGCTCATGTTGGTGGAGTAAATGATCTTGCATTTTCTCATCCATATAAGCAACTTTGTGTGATAACTTGTGGGGATGACAAAATCTTTAAAGTTATTTAAGATGAATGACATAAGTATTTCATATTTTCATCTCAATACATTTACTAATGAAAAATGTTAGTAATTGGTGTTTTTGTTTGTATTATTTTTTGCAGGTTAACCTAATATTATACAGGAGGTTCATTGAGAGTAATTGCAAGAAAAACATTAACTAAGAGTACTGGTGGTTCTCGGGCTATAAGGTATACATTGGTCATGAAAACAAGTTATTTATCAAATGAATATTTTGCAGGATGAAAGTGGTTATATCACCCTTGATGAACTCCAACAAGCATATAAAGAATTTGGAGTATATGATCTTCGTTTAGAAGAATTTATCAAAGAATCTGACCAAAATAATGTGAGTTTTTGCTATATGTTCATCTGAAAACTATATATTATTAATTATATAGTAAATTGCATTTTTGCTCCCCGATTATAGCTGATTTTTTCAATTTTGATGCACATTAGTATAATCATTTTACTAGGAAAATGGACCAAAGTCCAAACCGTAAAAAAAGTATCAAATAAGGACCAAAAATGAAAGAAAAAACATTTTTGGTGCCATAATTAAAAACAATATTCCAACTAAGGGACCAATAATATAATTTTCTCATTATTATATGAATTAAAATTCATTGCGTTGTTACTTTGCATAGTTTTTTGCATCGATTATAATGAGTTGGTGTCATGACATCACTGGAAACATATGACTTTAAAAAGAATAAAGATTCAATATTTTTTATGTAAATACATTAAATTTTTGTTTTCCTTTTTCTTTGGTCTTACTTTGCTGTCAGGAAGAGGTCAAATAACATCAAGAGGCAATATAACTCTTTGGTTGTAAAATAGTAACTTACTTTGAATTTCTTTGTTTACTATAGCATCCTACTTTCATTTCTTTATATTCCAACATTTTACTTTGAAGATCTTTTCTATCAAGCTATTGTACTTGAAACATTCAATCAACTTATAAGATTGTGCTTCCTATTTTTTTCTTATGAAAATATTAAACTCTAGCGAGTCACCCAATTATAGCAATGAAATTGCTTTGTATTGGGATTACGTTGCTATAATTGGCTAATTTCCAAACTAAACTGCTACAATAGGAAGAAATGAATGTTATAACTTCAGTATCAATTTTGTGGCATGATAATGAAGGTTTGACTCTTTTTCCAATTTGTACATCTAGCTTTGTTATAACTAATGTGTTGGTGCAAAGTTTTTATGAAAATGCAGGTGGGTTCAATCATACCATTCATGATATTCACTACAAACAAGGATAATCACATGGAAAGATTGTAGTTCGTGCAAAGTACGTGACTTCATCAAAGGCTCAAATAGATTGTTACATGCTAAATTTCCAAGGCAAATATATCTTGGTCTTAACTTCTTTTCAATTAAGAACATTGCAGAAGTAAGACTCTTTTGTTTTCTTGACCAGTAAAACCACATGGAGAGCTCGAAAGTTAACCATGTTTTAAAGAAAATGAAGATAACGACCAACCTACTTTCAATTAGCCAATTCTAGGAAGAATGGGAAGAAACAACTCTATAGGTGGTGGTTCACTTGACGACGAGCAAGACAGTCTGGACATGCCTTCTCGGACGCAAAATACTTTACATGAAGATTATATTCCCAAATCCAAATAAAGATGCAAGTACCAACATCTCCTGTAACACACTAAGATGCTAATTTTTATTATCTTTTGTTTGAGACATTTTAATTACAATAGTATGTAATTTTCGCAAAAATAATTTGTTTGTCTATAATACTAATAGCTAGATTCCTAATTACATTCAAACACACTTTTGTTTAGGCTGCAACTATTGGAGGCAAACAATCAAAATATATGTTGATATTTTTTAATGTGTCAAATATAAAACATCAGTAACAACCGTGTTATAATATTTGTAGAATTTTCCAAACAAACCACTGTGGGTCGTGTTTAGCACGATTCTTGCACATCTCGTGTGTGTGTATACATATATATATATATATATATATATATATAGAGAGAGAGAGAGAGAGAGATGTTTTGATAAATAGATTGAACAAATAAAATAAATTTTTAATTAATTAAATAAATAAACAAGGGTATTTTAGTAATATGATAAATAGTTTCTACAAATAGTCCTGTAATCATGCTAGCATTTAATTTTAACCTAATTTCTTTTCTTGTATACAACCATCATCCACCAAACCCTTCTAATCAACCTGACTTCATCTTCCTCCCTCTACTGGACAAATTATCTGACAACGGCGGCTCTTCCGGCTTCATTCGGTTCTTGCAAGCTCTAAACGATAACTGTAAACCCCATCTTTAGATACACCTCATCCAAATCATAGATGCACAAAAGGCCTCATCTCAAAAGGAATCAATCGGTATCATCCATGCTAATCTCATGTTTTGTGCCTGATCAATCGTCGGTGATCTGGGTCTACCCTCCATCATAGTGCGCAACAAATTTGCAGCCTGTGTTCCTGCTTACAGAATCATCCCTCAGCTCCATAAATAAGGTCGATTCCCTGTAGAAGGTAAGTGCAGTTAAAAAACCCACACCAACAAACACAACCTAAAAGGAAATCTGATCACAGATTATAATTTATAGATCGAGATAATAAATTTTGTCTTAAAGATTCATTGTTGCAGGAAATGGTTCCGGGACTCCATCCACTGGGATACAAAGATATACCATTTATTGGCCTCACAACACAACAAAGCATGAAATTGACAACATTGTTCTCCTCAAAAACACTCCCGGTTGCTTTCATATGGAACACCATCGAATTTATTGAACAATCAGCACTAACCCAGATCCGCCATCGCTACCAAGTTCCAGTTTTTACCATCGATCCATTACACAAAACATCACCAACCCCTTCCGATAGTTTTCTTGAAGAAGATACCAATTGCATTTCATGGATAGATAAACAATCACTCAAATCAGTAATTTACGCAAAGGTAGGAAGCTTAGCAACCATGGATGCAAAAGTGGCAACTGAAATGGCATGGGGCCTAGCCAAGAGTAACCAGCCGTTCATATGGGTGGTTCGATCGGGTTCGGTTCATGGGTGTGATTGGATCGAGTTTTTGCTGGAGGATTTGGTAAGTGAGATGTAGGTGAAAGGTTTGATTGTACAATGGGCACCCCAGAAGGACGTATTGGTACATTCTGCAGTTGGAGGATTTTGGAGCCATGTGTGGTTGGAATTGGTGAGATTCCAATTCTATTCGAATGGAATCATAAATTCCAATTATGTTGGAATGAAATCACGAATTCAAATTTTGTTGGAATCACAAAAGTTTTGATGCTTGAAGAGCGGACCACAAAATTGAAAGTGATTCTAAGCAACATTATTCTTTTATAATGTATTACTGTCGTTGTTAGATTTTGATGTTTTCTTTCCTGTTTTTGAAAGTTGTTTTTAGTTTTATTCTTTAACAATAAATGTAATTCTTAACAATTGTTACCTGTATTCTATAAGAAATAATGTATTTTTTGTTTTTATTCTTCAATTGATTGTTTAAGAATTTGTTATTCTACAAAAAGTGTTTAAAGTCATGATCAAGAAATAGGTTCAACAATATTTTTATTATTTATGGTTCAAGAATATATTTTTATTTTTGAATATACTCATAAACATATTCTGTCAGAATGTCCGAATTAAAAGAATTATAATTCGTAAAATCGGATTATTAAAATTAACAGAATCTATGATCCCTTAAAAAATGCAATTTTCTTTTATTAAATCTATATTCATTGACTAAATTACCATTGTAATTAATTAAGATGATATTTTTCAATTATATATAATTCAATAATGTATATTCATCACTTTCTTAAAATAAGTAAATTTGATTGGCTCATATTTATACATACAATAACACAATAATTACTTTAATTAAAATAATATATATATATATATATATATATATATATATATATATATATATATATATATATATATATATATATTCATTGGTTTTCCGAATAATAATAATTAAACCTCTGATTAATTTGACTGGAGAAAGAAATTCTCTATATTTTGTTAATCGTGTACAACTGTCTCATTCTTCTTCTTTTTTATAATGCTCATAATTTTCAAATTAAAAATATAATACTAAAACTAGTTATAATTAAAGGGAATGGATGATGATTCACCAACATTTGGATTTTAACTGAAATATAACTATATGCATAATTTCAATAACTTTAATGAATTTTGACTTTTTGGAAAACTTTATTTATTTAATTTAATTTATATAAAAAACATATGTATCGTGTTGTATGTTTTAATATAGGGTGGAATCATCAAAACATTAGTTTAATATACAAAAGAAACTAATTGTTTATTACCGGTTGACAAGTAAATTATATCCCTAGCACTAACGTTTGTTTTAAGTATAAATAAATCATTATTATATTTGACATTGTACAAAACAAATATAACATCTTTTAAAAAATACATTAGATTTAATTTGGTTGATATTTTATTTTTTTTAAACACTAGAAGATTATATTAAGAAAATTAATAATTCTTCTATCTTTTGTTTCAATTTAGGTCAGATGGATTGTGCAAACCACACACAGCGGTGATGACAATCTAGACGTTTCACTACACCCGAAACACCACATTCTGGTGCGGTGAACGTGTGTTGAAGTACTGCTCGGTGTGAGATAACAACACTCTTTCTCCTCGCCTTCTCTTTCCTTTTCTCCTTCAACGGTTAGAAAAGTTTTTTTCTCTTCAATTGTCAATATATATATATATATATATATATATATATATATATATATATATATATATATATATATATATATATATATGTATGTATGTAGACACAAACATATACACACACATACATGTGTAAATTACAGAAATAGTTCATCGTGCATGTGCCAAAATACCTAATAGCCTGAGAATGTCTGATTTGGCGTTATGTTCTATTCTTTTCTAATTGGGGGCTTAGGGTAGGATTGGATATTCAAAAGTCTATAGGTTCCAGTGTTATGTATGACTAGCATGCGCTAGTGCTACAGGTTTGGTGGAAATTTCATGGATGGGTGGGTTGTGTGGGACCGGTAGGTCAGTTGTGAGGCAGTTAGCTTTCCTTTGGGAGGGAGGTTGAGCAACCATCAGGGGTATGTATATTTTTAGGGTGTTGCGGTGATACTTGAGAAAAATATGGGTAGGTGTGGAAGGTAGTATGAGCCCGTACTACTGAAAGCACATAACCATACGCATAGCAAGGAAGTCACAACCCCTAGGGTTTAGTTGGAAGTTGGTCCCTTATTATTAGGTGGATTATCTGATATCTTTTGGTATGTTTTCAGAATGGTGATGATGAGACGCTTTGTGATTGGATCCGGGTTAGGATCAAGATCAGGAAACGGAGACCAGGAGGGGCCAGTAGCACTTGAGACTGTTGTACAGATGGGGACAGAGGAGCTAGATGCCAGGATTCGATAGATCTTGCATGATGAGGTTGTTGCTATGTTCCGGGCGCAACTACAGTAGATGTTTGGGTCAATTAAGACCGCCATGGTCGTGTTCTTCGATGAGTGTTACACAGCTCTTGCAGAGACGGCTGCTGCTGCAGCTGCATCGGCTATATCAGCGACAGGGGTAGGAGGAAGAGCCAGCCGGGGCTTCCAGTATCTGGACTTCGTTAACACGAAGCCCCCAACATTCGATGGGATTCAGGACCCTATCATAGCCATGAGGTGGCTATCGGACATCGAGGGGTGCTTTTTTACGTGTTCATAACCGACTGACCAGAAGGTCATGTGTGCCCTGAACATGTTGAGGTCCGGGGCGAAGGACTAATGGAGGTTGATGACAGGGTCTTATTCGGATGAGCAGAGAGCTGCAGTTTCTTGGGATCAGTTTAGGGAGATGTTCCGCTCCCGTTACATTACATGGGTCGAGCGTGAGCGGCTATCTCAAGAGTTCTTGGATTTGAAACAGGATTCAGAGTCGGTGAAGGAGATCACCCGTATGCTCACTAAGAGGGCAATGTTTTACCTGGAGTTTGCTTCCGAGCAGGCTCAGATGACACGATGTCTGAGCATGCTCAAGACTAACATTAGACAGTTCGTTGCTACCCAACGATGCGTGTTACTGGATTTATAGGAGGCCGCCAGGCGACAGGAGTTGGAGATTGAGTTACAGTTGCGAGACCAGAAGTAGGCCCCGGTGCAGTCTCAGTCGGCGCCGAAGTGGTCCAAAACCGTTGATTCTAGGGTTAGAGGACAGAGTGTACTCACTTGTGAGAAGTATGGGAATGGTCATATCGGAGTTTGCAAGTCCGATGGTGCGTGCCGCAAGTGCGGAAGGGAGGGGCACTACGCAAGGGATTGTCAACATTTGGCCCCGATTCTGGACGTGAGGATTTGTTATCACTACCATCAGGTTGGTCACGTGAAGACCAACTGTCCACATCTTGCTACATTGAGGGGTGCTGTTACGAGTCAGGATAGAGCAGAGCCTCCAAGGGCTCAGGGACGTGCCTTCCAACTTATAGCAGAGGAGGCTGGGACAGTGCCAGATGCGGCTGCGGGTACGTTTCAATTCTTATCTTAATGTTTATGATTATATTGTGAAAATTTTGTCCTCTTTCTGCATGAGTCATTAGAATATAGGAAGGTCAGGGGATTTTAGTATCAAGGGGTCGTAGACAGTTAGTATCCAGGGGCGTTGGGAATGGGGAGGTAGGATAGAGGATCACCATTCTAGGAGTAGTAGTTGTGAATCGGAGATGCATAAGTGTTCAGCTGGGATATGGTTTCTTTGAAGTTCGGTTGATCCATGCCGAGAGGGTTGTTCTGTGGAGGTTGTTCACTCCGGAGTTATGATTGGTTTTGAGCATTCTAACACTCTTATAATGTACATGCAACCCTAGAAAGCTTGGATCTATGTTTTCTCTAATATACATGCAAATTTGATTTTTCCCAGGTTCTCATCCTAACTAGCATGACATGAGGTACTTGTAATATAAAAACTAGTAGAATGACATAACTTTCTTGCAGCTTGGATTCCTTAATACCTTGTGAGCCTAGCACCCCAAATGTGATGTATCAATGTTTCACACAACACCACAACTCTTGGAATAACTTTAGAGAATAACACTTTCACTCAAAATCGGCTAGCCCTCATTGTTCTTGTCTTAGTGGCTGGTTTTTCTTACCATGAGGTTCTTTATACAGTGTGTCACATGTATGGTTACACCATGTAAACCCTAATGTGTATGGATTTTCATTTCCCCCATGATCCATGGGTTTTAACCTCCATGGAGCATCCATGGAGCACCCAATGGGTCCTAGCCCAATCTAGTGAATCATGGACCATAAGCCCACTATATAAGAATGAACGATTTACAAAATCAACCCCTATATATTTAATTAGTCTCCTTTTGATCACAAAATTAATTCCAAATTAATTCTTGATAAATAATATGATTTCATATTAATATATTAGAACTTATAATATATTAACAAACGGTAAGTGTCCTTTTTCTCATTTTTTCTATACAATTGTTATGATGACATGCAACCCAAATGGACCATGCCAAGTCGGGTCAAGCACATACTAAATATAGTTATGGACTTAGACACCTTATCCAACAGTCTCCTACTTGGATAAATCTTATAACTATAGTTACAAGAATGACTTTAAGAACCAACCAGCAATCGTATCTCTTTCAAAGTCTCGCATAACTAAGATGATGATGCGCAATTTAAGATAAGTGATCATATAATCATTTGTTCTAGATATCAGCCTGACAAATACATGGAACAATGTCATACTTATTGTCCGCCAGTTTGTTTCCCGGTTTCTGATATGTTTGACATAGAACTAAAATGAACACATCAATTTGGTTCTGATCAGGCACGACACATAGGTCAAAAGAAAATCATCGAGGGGACCTGATATCGATTTTAATCCTCCAAGGAATAGAAGGAACAGATAAATTTCGATTCATATGCTTGTACTAACTACTTGTTGAATCATACACAAAATCATGTTTTATAACATCGAGTTACCGATGCGTTTGCATACAATTAATGTACAACCAACTCATGGTCAATAACTCATATCTCTAGGTTTAAAGACTTCTAT